GCCCAGCCCAGTCCACCTCTGACTTTGCTGGACTCAGGCGATGGCATCTGGTGGGGTGGCGAGATGGTAGGGTGGCGGGGTGGTGGGGTGGCGGGGTGGTTGGGTGGTGAGGTGCTGGGGTGGCGGGGTGCTGGGCTGCCATTCAGAGGCACATTTGCTGTACAATGAATAGAGCTGATGCTTCAGGGCCGCTCACTTGCCTAGCCCCTTTCCAAAGCCTTCTTCCCAACTGTATACTCCAGATCCCTTCAAACTGTATAAGCACCCCACAGAGGTGGGACCCATCTTGTTTCCACCCCTACCCAGCTTAGGGTCCCAGAGCCCTCCTCTCCCATCAAGCATCTCCTCTCCCCCACTGCCAGTCTGGTGCTTCTTTAGAAGCAGGCCCTGCTGAGGTCTACGCAGCCTCTTCCCTCCTAGAAGGCCACCCCAGGCCTTCCTCTGTGGTCTACAGTCCACTGAGCTTAAACAGAATCTGATTACTCCCCCTCCTCACACACCAGCCCTGAGGGACCTCTCAGGAATGCTATGGATAGTTTGCAAACCCTCAGCTCGAAGACCTAGGAGAGGCCCGAGTTCAAATCCTACCCTGTGCCTGGCAGCCAAGTGTCCTGGGTACCACCCTCTTATCCTACAAAGACTTTCCCAGCACACAGGGTTGTTAGGGAAGTCTGGCCCAGCCCAGCTCAGTACCAAGGGCAGGGGTGTGGCTCTGTGAGACCCTTCACAGGCCAGGTCCCTTGGGCAGGCAGGAAGCTCCCCACAGTAGAGGCCCCCTAGGTGGGGAGGCCAAGCCTTCTCACCAGTCACCCTGACCCTGCCACAGGCCTTACAGATCCTTCCTCAGTGAGATGTCTACTCACTGGGCAGCAGATGGCCTCCGAATCTCCCCAGGTTCCCCTAGGAGGACTTCGGGGTCCTCCTGATCTGGAGCCCTCTTGTCAGTTTTGGTTCCTGAGTTTTGGGGGTCACTGACCTCCAGGACTGTTGTCACTTGGATTTTCTCAGAAGCAAGCCTGGGCTGTGGCCTCCGTCCTGACTCTTGGGAAAGACTGGAAGTTGTGATGGGAGATGGTTGGGATCGGGGGGAGCGGGATGCAGATGGGGTTGGTGAGGGGAGGCAGGGACTTGTTTTGCAAGCCCTGTGATTGCCTTGAGATGAGAAAGCACTTGTGTTTGGGACGTCTGGTAAGGATCACAAAGTCCCCTCTGCCCATGGGGGACAGCACAGCACAGGGCAAAAAGCCAGGGCTCTGTCATCACATGCCTGGTTCAAATCCTGGCTACTCAATTCCTGGTGTGTGACCTGGGACAAGTTACCGAACTTCTGCGAGCCCCAGATTCCCCAGCTATAAAATGGGATGAGACAGAGAGCAAGCACACGGATGGGGCTCACTGTGTGCCAGACGCCAGTGCTGGCAGCTCATTTTGTCCTCATTGTAGCAGCCCTGGGAGGTGAGTTTCCTTTTTGTGCCCAAATTATAGGCCTGTGGGGAGGAGTAAATGAGGGTGTGCTTGGCAAGTGCTCAGAACAGTGCCTGGCAGGTAGTAAGTTCTCCATCAATCTTGGCTCTTAGGATGCCATGGGATTGCTGGGGTCCAGAGAGCTGGTCGGCTTAGCCAATCCCCTGGGGGACAGGTAGAGTCAGGTGACAGCAACTGAGCATCCACTCTGCCAGGCCGGGGTGTGCCACTCGGAATAAGGCAACTCGGGCTCATCAGAGCAACTCTGAGTTCCACTCAGATACTTGGTTAGAGCTAGGAGGCCCTGCCAAGGGCAGAGAAGGCTCTGACTGGGGTGGGGGTGAGATGGAGGGTTGAGATGCAGCCACTAGGCATGCCTTGTGGGGTTACCCAAGGGCCAGACTGCATCCGAGTATGTGTGCATGTTGGTGTGTGACTGTGAATCCCTGCAGCGACTCTTTAATTCATTCATCAAACACCTCACAATGCACCTCTGGACCTGGTATTGCAGTGTAGCTGTTGGCCTGGGTCAGGATCTCGGCTCTGGTGGTCAGCTGTGGCACCCTGCTGTGTCTCCTTTCTTCTCTGTGCGTTGGTTTTTCATCTGGAAATGGGGGTAATATCAATGTGCATTTTGTAGAGCCATCAGTACCTGGCTCACAATCAGCTCCACTTGAGCTCTTCTATGGCTACTGCTCATTTGGGACACTGAATGCTTCTACTTTTGAACAAGACAGACAGTAGAGACTGAAAGCAGGGTAAGGAGTGCAGGATGAGTGTGATCAGGGTGCCAGCAGGACAGGACCAGGCCTGATCACCCGGAGGACAACAGGAAGACTTCCCAGAGGAGGCAGTGTATATGTGTATTCTAAAGGCCAGAGGGGGCTGAGTGTTGTGCCAGGAGGGGCCAGCAGTGGGTGCCTGTTGGTGAGGTTATGGTGCTGTGAAGGGAGACCCTGACTATGTGGGGATGTGGCTCCAATGCACAAGGAGGCCTGGGGGAGGGTGACTGTGCAGATGCCCATGTGCTTGAGGGCAGGCAAATGTGTGCATTGGTGAACCCCAGGGAGACCCGGGATGGAAGGAGCAAGATGAGAAGGACCTTCCGGGGCCCAGACCTGTCTCAGTTCTGGCTGTGACCAGTGTCTTTGAAGAGCAGCAGGTGGCGCTCCTGGCCTGTCCAGGCCAAAGAATCTCCACTGCCCTGCCCCCTACCTCCTCCCTAGGATGTCGGGGAAGTGGGGTTGCTGCTTCCAGAAGTTTCAGAACTGTCAGGAACCTCTGAAGATGAGCCATGCTCACTGCCCACCTCACTCATGGAAATCATCCTAATGGTCTCCCTGCTAGATAGTTCTCTGATCCTTGAATATCTCTCAAGATAGGGTACTCACTACCTCTTTAGAACTGCTACTGCTGTCTGTGGCCAGCTGACATCTGGCTCCTCTTAATCCCCACTCTAACCCTGTCGGCCTTTGGAAGCTCCACAGGACCGGTCTGTTCCTGGGGTCTGCTCGGCCCCTCCGAAAGATGATGTTATCCCTACGTTATAAGCTTCGTCCTAGCCACCTTTGTCAAACTCCATTGCCATGGCAGGAAGAGCTCATGTAATCCTCACAACCTGGCACCTGGCCTGGCACACAGCAGGCACTCAATTTATATTTGCTAAATGAATGAATGAATGAACTTTGTGTGGTCCTTATCTCTGTAGTACAGTTGGGAAACTGAGGCTCAGAGATGTTAAGTCACACATCCAACACAACACAGCTCATAGCTGGCAGAACTGGGACTGTACCCAGCACCTGCCCGACCCAGAGCCAGAGCTCTTCAGTTCCAAGCTGTGCTACCACAACAGAAACCAGCTTCCCACCTATTGCACCCCATCGCCCTCTCCCACGGTGCCAGTCAGAATTCCAAAAAAATTGGGAATTGAATTTTCAGAGGCTGGGACCTCAGATTTCCTAGTTGGAAAGTTTCCCTGTCTTCCCTCTCTAGGATTCCTGTCGAAGGGTGGTGAGCTGGCCTTACATACCCTGCAGGGACGTGACTCTCCCTCCCTTACGGGGAGCCCCTTCTAATTCATCTCTACTTTTTGTTGAGTTGACCTTTTTCTTCTGGTCCTCCTCCCAAGGGCCCTGCAGGACAAGTTCCCCCAAACACGGAAAACCCATGGCTGGTCCCCCAGAGTCTCTTCCCCCAGGCCTGCGCCTCCATTCAGCCTGGTTTTGGTTCCCCTTTCCTCGAGGGAATTGTTACAGTTTCAACTCAATTTCATTCCTGTTTCCTCATGGCAGGCCCTAAGCTGGATGCTGGGACACAGGGGGGCCAGAGAGGAGAGTGGGTGAAGGTAGAGACGTCCAGCCAGCTGTTATCAGCAAACAACCTCTTCTCGCTGGCTCTCAGCTTCCCCATCTAAGAAGTGGAGATATTGACAGCACCAACCTGATGGGGTGCCTGAGAATCGAGATAACACATGAAAGTGCTGGGCCCCTGGCATAGGGTCAGGGTTCAAGAAATGTTTGCCTCTCCCCCATCTTCCCCCAAAACACTTGGATGGGGGTGAACCCCAGTAAGTGGGAAACACATCAATGATTAATGCTCAGTCAAAGTTGAATTGAGCATCGATGTCATGCCAAGCCCCGTGCTGGTGTTGGGGACATAGCAGTGAACAAGACAGACACAAACCCCTGCCCCCACTGGGGCTCACGTGCCATTGGAGACTTGGGTAAGTAAGTACAGTGTGGGGTGTGCCGCTGGGGATGAAGGCAAAGAGGGAAAAGGCACCGTGACCGCACAGGGTCGAAAGACCAGCAGCGGTAGAGATTGCCACTCAGAGACATACTTTTTTCATCACCCTGCACAGGAGAGTGTGGTCCCACTCTACCATGGGGGATCTGAGTCTCAGAGAACCGGGGGCCTTGCTGGAGGCACACAGATGGCGAGGAAGCAGCTGGAGCTCAGGTCTGCCGTAGCTTTTCCTCTGCAGATCCCAGTGACAGGGCCCAGAAGTGAACACCCCTATGGTGCCCTGGGGACACTGAGGCCCAGAGAGGGCCGGGCCTGATCTGAGTTCACACAGCCCCTGGGTGTCCTGGAGACGTGAAAGCCCGTGGTCTTGGATGACCTCTGGCCCACTGGGTGGACTGGCTGAGTGTGTGAATGTGGAAATGCTAGTCCAGGAAGAGACACGTGCGTGGAACCCCACGGGGCAGACTGTCAATGAAAGCGCCCCTGCCAGCCCTCCGCTTGGAGCCTGGAGGGAGCCAGGCCCCGGCCCTGGCACCCCACGCGGGACCCTTCCCTTCCCCCCACCACGGCGGCCGCCGAGGTGCGTCCAGCCGGCTCCGCGCCCTCCAGCCCCGGGCTCCGCGAGGCCGCTGCCCACTCGGCGGCTGGGCGGCTCCCTCCCGGCGGAGGCGGGGTCCGGGCCTGGGGCGGGAGGGCGCGGAGCCCGCGGGGGGCGCACTGGTCCGCCCCGCCCCGGCCCCTCCTCCCGCTCCGCCCGCGCTGGGGGCGGCCCGGCGGCGGCGGCGCACGCTTCCTGCGGGCGCGGCCGCTGTGGGCGCGGAGCTGCGAGGCGGAGCCGGGCGGCCGAGCCGGGAGCCCGCGAGCCGAGAGCGCGTCGGTCCAGCCGCCGGGCCGCGCCGCCCGCCGCCGAGCAGCCGCCCCGCGCGCCGCGCCTCGGGAACAAAGGCGCCTGCCCGTCGCCCGCGACGCCGCCATGAAGCCGGGGCCGCCGCACCGTGCCGGGGCCGCACACGGGGCCGGCGCCGGGGCCGGGGCCACGGCCGGGCCCGGGGCCCGCGGGCTGCTCCTGCCACCGCTGCTGCTGCTGCTGCTGGCGGGGCACGCCGCGGGGGTGAGTGACACGCGCCCGGACCCCTGCCACGGCCCCCCGGTCGCCGCCGCCCGCGACCCCCGCCCCGCTCCCGCCCCCCCGGGCTGCCCACCCCAGGCCGCGGTCCCCGCCGCCCCTCGCCCCTCCCCCGAGCGCCCCTCTCCGCTCCCTGACCCCCCCGGAGTTCCCCGCTAGCTGGCATCCGCGAGGACAGGCCGCCCCCGCCGCCGGTCATCTTCGTGGGGCTCATCTCTCCTTCCTTTTGGGACCCCTCCCCAGAGGGAATCCCGGGCGGGAACCCGAGCGCGGGTCCCTCTTCCCCACCCCCCCAGTGGCTCCGGGAAATGCCTCCCCGGGGAAGGAGCGGGGACCCCTGCGCTGGCCTGGGAGGCGCGGGAAGCGCCCGGCGGCGGGCTGGGGGTCGCCGTCCCGGCTGGGTGTGTCTTGGGGTGGGAGCGTGCCTGGCTCCTGCCTCGTGGGTGTGCCCAGACCGCGGCCACTTTTTGGGAATCGGGTCATTTCCCCCTCCGAGGGGAGGGTGTGCATTTGTTTCTTCCCAGGGTCTCGGCAGCCCAGCTGGGAGGGGGAGGTGGAGGTGGAGGGTGACTTGGTGAAGGTGACCTGAGGGGGGAGTGAGGGTGACCCTGTGTGTGGGCGTGTGTGGCCACCTCAGTGAGGGGGTGCGGGGACCTGTGGGGCGTGTGCAGGTGGAAGATGTGTCTGCCACATGGGTGGGTGCCAGCGTGCCCTCCCGTTGGTGGTCGTGAGAGGGTGACCCATTGTGCATGATGTGTGCCTGCGTCCGGCTGGGCCACTGTTGGCCGTGGCCGTGTGTGCCTGCAGTGGGTGAGTGTGTGTGTGCGAGAGACCTCTGTGGTGGGCGTGTGCTTGGACCCGTGGGAGTGTGAGTGTGTGTGAGTGCACACACCAGCATGTGCATGCAGGTGCTTGGGTGACCCTCGGCATGGGACAAGGACCCCTGAGGGGGACCAAGCATGTGCAGGTGGAGGAGAGGGTGTGCATGAGGTGACCCTTGAGTGTCCCTTTGAGTGATCGCAGCAGCCGCTTGGTCCCAGCTCCATCAGGGAGGGCAGAGGAAGGAAGGAGCTCATCCTCCTTTGAGGGACCCAGGTCCCAAGTGAGTTCTTGCTGGGCGTGTGTCCCGATCCTGGCTCAGGTGGGCTGGGGGTTTCTAGGTCCAGCCTCCCTGGTTAGTTCCAGGACCTACGCCGTCCTGCATCCCCCCAGGCCTCTCAAGCAACCCTGGGTGCCCAACTGGCCTCTGCAAGTCCGTTTTCTTCTTCTGGCCTCAGTGGGCCAGTCACTAAGACAGGAGGAGGACAAGCAGGGGCTCCAAGCCTACTTCTTGGATGGACAGGCCCCTCCTCAGCCTTCCCCATCTAGGGGCTGTCAGCTGGAGGGAGGGGAAGTATTGAGTGCCCACATGTGTGAAGTGCCTGCTGGCCAGGATGTCTCATTCCCAGCTCTCCCCCAAGTGGGGTGAGAGGAAGAGGTCTCTGGGAGGGATAGAGACCCAGAGCACCCTAGCAGCTGGGGTTGCCTTCTCAGGCAGATTTCTGAAAGACCATCCTTAAAATCAAAGGCTTGGGAATCGCACAACCCTGGGTTCCAGTCCTGCTACTCCCACCGATTCATGGCATGATTTGGGCAGGTCATCTTACTTCTCTGACCCTTGGTTGTCCCTCTGTGAAGTGGGGCTAATGACACCTTCCTCAGAGGGTGAAGATTCAATGAGGTGACTGACGAGTGTCCTGAGAAGGAACTCCACAGTCACATGGTGTGCTCATGAATGAAAAGGCTCAGGACAGAAGGCTTTAGATCTGGAGGACAGGTGGAGCACGGGGCAGGCCACTTCCCTTGCTGAATAAGGCTAATATAATAATTCATGTGCCACGAGGTGGTAGAAAGACTTAGTGGGAGCATTTAATAACCTCATGCACAGTAGGGCCTCTCAAGGCAGGTGCCCTGAATTGAGAGGTGTGGCTCAGAACCAGTGTTGGGTGGCAGATCAAGCAGACCCCCAGAGTATGGGCTTGGAGGCAGAGATAATGGGCGGGGCCTGGGGAAGGGCAGGAATTGGGGCTCCTGGTGAGGTGATGGGGAGTAGAGTGTCTTCCAGGCCTCACATCTTCCCAGGGGTCAGGCTGTCAAGGAGGGGGCGTCATCTTGCCTGTCCTCATCTGGCTTGGGAGAAAAAGGGTTAATAGGTGGTATCTGGTTGCTGGGTTCGCAGGAGAGGTAGAAGGCAGTGTCTGCAGCAGGAGGGACTGAGGTTAGATCAGAAGACACCCAGCCAGGGAGGCTCTGGGGTGGCCTTGGTAGATGAGCGGTGGCTGGCTCAGGGCAGGGCAGGGCAGGGCAGGGACATGATGACCCTTGGGTTGCCTGTCAGCCTATCGGTGGTGTGTGTGTGTGTGTGTGTGTGTGTGTGTGTCTTCGTGTCTTTTAGTATGGGGATAGCTGGGATAGCAGGCCTCATTCACACTGTAGATGGTGATTGTGGGGTGTGTGTGTGTGTGTGTGTGTGTGTGTGTGTCTTCGTGTCTTTTAGTATGGGGATAGCCGGGATACAGGCCTCATTCACACTGCAGATGGTGAATTGTGGGGTGTGTGTGGGTGTCTCCTGGCATCTCCTTTGACGAGTCCCTCTTCTGACAGACCAAGTGACCAGGACTCTGAGGGACATCTGCCTTCAAGGCCATCTCAGCTACTGTACTTAAGTTACCACTCAGAAAGTTTTGGAGGATCCTAGAAATTTTAGCTTTTGAAACATGTTCTTTTAAAAGTCTAGGGCTGGAAGGAATCTTAGATGTTAGTCTTATTAGAATACTCCCAGTGATGGGAGACCACTACTTCGAGGCTGTGTGACGTTGTGAAAGTTAGCTGACCTTTCTGTGCCTTAGTTTCCACCTCTTTAAAATGGAGAGAATGAGAGAATGGAAGGGCTGTGTTTGGAAAGCTTTTCGCCCAGTAGCTGGTACCCACTAAGTACCCAACAGATGTGGATTTCTTGTTCTTTTACAAAGTTGCTGTACTGTGTTTGGGAAGGTGGGAGGTGTGTGTGTGTGGGGGGGGGGTGGAGGGGGTGGGGGGATTAGTAGGGAATCCTTTTGAAGTCCCAGCCCCAGGCCCAGTGGTTCCTGCTCCCTCTCCACCTTGTTTCAGTCATCCCTGCTTTTCATCATGTCCCCTGGGTGACTGTGAGCCTTGGGTTGCCAGGATGAGATTGTCCTCACCAAAAAATGGAAAGTTGGGGGCCCCTGGGCTGTTCTGGGCCAGGCTCTAGGGTGAACCATCTCTCCTTCTAGTATCTGGGGGACAGACACAGGGACACCACAGGTATATGTTGCCTGTTAGCTCCAAGGTAGCACGGCCTCTGGGTATAGACACCTACTATGTGATTTCTGGTAAGGGATTTCTCTCTGTCTGAAAGTCCTTGTCTGTAAAATGGGGACAGTAACTGTGTCAGCCTCACAGGAATGTTGTGATTTGGAAATGAGCTGCTCTAGTAGACCGAGCACACCAGCTACATAGTGAGCTCTTAGGAGATGGAAACTTTCTAGGAGGGAGCATGGTTGGGGTCAGGGAAGGCTTCCTGGAGGAGGAGGGTTTTGAGCTAAGCAATGAAAATGGTCGTCACATGACACTAGCAGGCTATAGCCTGCCCTAACCCTCAGCTTTCTTACCTGTCAACCGGGGGCAAATACTTGGCTTTTAGAACCATTACTTGGTGGTGGTGGTGGGGGGGGGTGACACTATCCTCATGGCATAGTTAGGGCTTGAACCTGAAGCCTCCTGCTCTCTGCGGAGGAGTGAGCACAGTGCATCCAGCTGTGAGTTCGTTGTTGGGGGTTGGTGTGAAGTGAACTGTGCTGGAGAAAAAAAGTGAAAGAAAACAAACGAAAAACAAAAAAATGGCCTTTTGAAACCCAGTGGTTCCTCCCACCTCATAGAATGGGGCATAGAGTCCCTGGAGGGTCCTGGGCAGCAGGAGTGGTGGCAGTGGTGGGGAGAGTGAGCGGGGCTTATCCCAAGCAGGAGAAAGAGGTCACATTTCCGGAGAGGCCTGCCCACCAAGCACTTTACATGTATTGGCTTATTTCATCCTTATGATAGTCTTTTGATGTGGGCATTATTAGAACCCCCATTTTATTTTATTTATTTATTTAGAGACAGAGTCTCACTGTGTTGCCTAGGCTGGAGTGTGGTGGTGTGATCTTGGCTCACTGCAACCTCTGCTTCCTGAGTTCAAACGATTCTCCTGCCTCAGCCTCACAAGTAACTGGGATTACAGGCACTTGACACCAGGCCCGCCTAATTTTTGTATTTTTAGTAGAGATAAGATTTCACCATGTTGCCCAGGCTGGTCTTGAACTCCTGACCTCAGGTGATCCGGCCACCTTGGCTCCCCCAAAGTGCTGGGATTACAGTCATGAGCCTATAGCACCCTGCCAGAACCCCCATTTTACAGATGAGAAAACTGAGGCACAGAGAGACCTCAGTGACTTGCTCAAAGTCACACAGCCAGAAGTGGCAGAACTGGTTTGAGCTAGGGCCTCATGGGCCAGTAGGACTGGACTGTGGTCCTAAATCTACCCCCCTCTTGCTGATCTTAGGCAAGCAACTTCACCTCTCTGGGGCCTCCCTGCCACCGAGACATGTCTGCATTAGCTACTGTTTAGTAAGTGCCTGCCTTTGTGTGTGGGGTCCCTTGTCTTTTCTCACTTAATTCTCCCATAGCCCTGGAGGTTGGTGATGCTGCCTCACCATGTGGGAGGGATTGGCCAGGGCTATTCCTCCTCTACTGCTTCCCAAGGCTCTGTAGTCTGTAAAAGCAGCTACTCTGAGGGCTACTGAGGGTGTGTAGGGGTGGGGAGAGAGCTTTATAAACTGCGAAGGGCTGTCAACAAGATTGTGTGTGCGTGTGTGTGTGTGTATGCATGTGTGTGTGTATATGTTTGTGTGCATGTGTGTGCATAAGCGGGCTTATGTGTGGTCTT